AGGGTGAGCCAAGGAACAATAGGGAAGTTTTTGTGGATAAACCAGTTCCCAAACTACTCCCTCTAACCAGAGGAGAAAGGGAGAGGTGGGAGAGCAGAATGAGTTGGCCTGAGCTGCAGCTACTTCTCTGAAGGGATAGCAGCCTGGGCCGGCTTCCCCTGACCTTCAGCAGGCTCCCAAGCCAGCGCTTGGAAGCTGCTGAGAACCTTCTCTCCCCCTCTAGTTTCCCCCTCAAGGGAGAAGGCTGTAGAGGGTCAAGGACAGAGGAGCCCAGGCTCCAGGATTTATTCTAACTCCTGCCAAAATTGGTTTGACTTTTTAAAAAATAATCACAATGCTTGGGTTAAAAACCAATTTGTAACCAGGCATCAGCCACAATCAGAACAACCCCAGGGGGAAGACTGGGGTTCCAGACAGGGTTCTACAACCCTAGCTCTGTTGTTCCCTTAACCCTCTAGGGTCCCTAACCCAAATAAGTCCAACCAGTCCTGGGTACTAGCTACCCAATGTGGGAGTGGCTCCTCCTGGGAAGAGAGGGGACATGTATAGCAAGTGCCAGAAAACATGGCTCAGGGTCAACCCCATCCCTGTCAGTCAGCTGTACTCCAGCCCATACCCAGGTCCTCCAGCTTAGTTCCAAGGCATGATACCACCTACTTGCGAGGTGTGACAGTACATCTCTTGAGGATGTAGGCCAAGTAGGTGGGTGCCCTGGCATGACAGTCCCACAGAGGGTCAGCAGCACCCATCCAACCTCCGCTGACAACCCAGGGCAGAGACTACCTTCTCATCCCACCCTACTCCTAGCAAAGGGAGAGAGGCACAAGGTTAGGGTTTTTCCTCAGAGCCCCAAACCACGAGTACAGAATAAATAACTTAAAAGCGGCAAGGGAGGGGAACAGGGCACGCTTTAGAGGCGGGAGCACTGAGAGGAACCAAAGCTGGTCAAGGTGAAGGGTGGCAAGCAGCAGCTGGGAACTCAGGCTGCCCCAGCAGGGCAGGGCAGGGCAGGGCGGGGTGGGGATGGGGCAGGGTGGGAGGGTGAACACAGGGCCACCCCAGGAGGGTGAGGCTGGGCCCCTTCCTGGGGCAGGGAATGAGGTAAGAAACATTTCAAATAAAGCAGCACCGTCCCTCTCACCTGGGCTGTCCTCACAGCCCTGGGGCAGGGAGGGCAGGGGGCCACTCTGATACAGGCTCCCTCTTCCTACCCTCCCCTTCCCATTCCTTGAAGCTGTAGAGGCTGGAGGCCCTTTCCTGGCACCCAACAACAAAAGGACAGCTCCTGCTGCCAAGGAGGCCCATGGGGACTGAGGGGAAAGGGCTGCCCCTGTGAGGCAGTTCTGGACGCCCACCTCAGCAGACAGCACTCTGCCTGCTGACCCCGGGGACTGGGAACATCTGATAGGACTCTGCACACAGACAGGACACACCAGCCCTGCCCCTCAGCTCCAAGCACCGGACCCATTCACATTGCTGAGGGCAGCCAGGAGAGGCCTCCTCTGGGCTCAGCTTCCAAACCAAAGCCGCCTGGGTAGCCACAATGCCCCTCGGCAGGGCTTAGTCCAGTTCCTGGGGTGGGGAGCAGGCAGTGCCCTGGCACAGTGCCCAGGTCAGGCCCCCAGCCTAGCTGGACATCCAGTAACTCACAGAATAAATAGGAAAACCACCTCCCCACCAAACTTATGTCCAAGGCATAATATGTCCAGGTCTGAGTCCTGCACGCCGAGGGGTCATGCTTCCTTGCAGAGGACCCTGACACCCCCCAGGGGCACATAACTGGATCCTCTGCCTGCCTGGGCCACCAAGCTTCCCAAGCCCAAACCCCCAGCAGCTGTCCATATGCCAGGCTATGCTGCCTGGGTGGGGGTCGGGAGAGAGGGCTCTCTCAGCCAAAGGCTATCCTTTGCACCCAAGTCAGTTGATGTCATCATAGATGCTGGGCGTTGGGGGAGCCGGTGGCTTTGGCTTTTTCTTCTTGTTGGAGCCCAGGCCGGAGGCAGTCCCTACCAAGCTCAGATGCGATTTCTTTTTCTTGGTTTTCCGTGATTCAGAGGTGTTGGTACCTGCAGAGAAGGAGGCACAAGGGTGAGAGTGGAGCTGTGATGGGAGAGGTGGTACCCAGTGTCCAAAGCCCCTGAGATCAATTGGTACTGTATACCTAGACCCCATCCTTGATTTTCACTCGTCTTGGAGGAGCCTGAATCGGAAGGTGAGAGATCAGAAGAGCCGTCCCACTGAAGCCTGCTGATGAGGGCCTGGCTGTCAGTCATGTCAAAGCTGTCATTATCCAAGGAACTCTCGACCTCTGGGAGGACACTGGAAAGAAGAATCAAAGAAACATGTTAGGGAAAGAGACCACCAACCTGACCCACCACCCTTCTGGAAAGATCACTTACGCTGAAGGCCCAAGGAAATAAATCCGTACGGTTCGCCTCTGTTCATCTGTGTGCTGGGGGCAGCGTAGTGACCTGGTGGGGACAGAATGATCAGACCCTGACAAGGCAGGGAAGGACTTCAGGAACTCAGGTGGAGCAGAAGCTGGAGGGACAGGGAAAGAGTCAGTGGTGAATCCCCAGATGGTGGCCTAATAAGTAAGGCCTAATAGACGAAGGGAGGGTTAAGAATGAGGACCCAGGGGCTGGAGAGATGGCTCAGAGGTTAAAAGCACTGGCTG